TAAGGATTCTGAAAATCGCTTTGGAGACATCAGATTTATTACCGGATAAAAAGGGAAAAAGAGATGAAACGAATTGTAAAAAGCGAAAAACATTGTGAAATAAAGAAGTTAAGAAAAAGATAAAAGAACGTAGAAAAGAAAAGACAAAACACGAAAGAAATACTTAGAAGGCAAACGTCTACTGATAATTATAGGATTGTGAGGGAAAAACCCACTCGATAATGATTAAAAATGTCTCCGGTCAAATGTTTTTTTTCTTTGTAGAACCAACTTCCGGTGTTTTAGTGGATAAATTTATTTTCTAAATATTTTTTTTTAAATAATAACAAAGAAAGGAAAAAATAAGCTGTGTTAATTGCATAAATTTAAAATTGTTTACATTAAAAGAATTATTTACATTGTTCGGACTATCATCCGCATCTTTGTTGTCATATTTATCACAACGTTTCGTCCATTGTATGCTCCGGCCTTCTTCAGGTGGTTGGAATGTCGAACTGAACCCTTTATTTCACCCGCTGGTGTATACTGTTCTAGTTACACGTGCCATGTCTAAGAACACATGGCACAGTCGGTAAAGGCGTTAGTTAGATCTAGTACATGACCCAAAGTGTGTGAGTTCAATACCTGGTTAAGGCAGTGGAGAACTTAGAGAGGAGCATTAGCAGGAGATAACTGTTGACTGACATCCATATGTTAATACGCTTCCCACTGATCTATATTGTTGCTCCTGTTTGATTTTGGTATCTTCAATCTGTTATTTGCATTTTGAGCTGTCTCTTTTGCTAACAACCATGCATTCAATTTTTTTGAAATTGGTGTTTTGTTTTTTTATTTTTGCTTTCCTTCACTACCTTATGTAAGAGTTTTTGTAGGAGTTCTTGTAGGAGTTCTTTTAGCTTTCTTTCAGTGTCTGCTATCAACATTGTGTCATCTGCATATCTTATGTTGTTAAGATTGCGACCGCCAATAATGAATCCTGGTAGGACTTCTAATTCTCTTAGAATGGTTTCGCTGTATAGGTTGAAAATGTCTGGTTAGAAGATGCACCCTTTTCTTACACCTGTTTTTATTTTTGTATATTTACTGAACTCATTTATTATCTGTATGCAGGCGGTTTGCTGCCAATATAGGTTCTGGATTATTCTAGTGTCCTTCCCACATATCTTAAGGTTACCTAGCAGTTCCAGCAGTTCTTTGTAACGTACTTTGTTAAATGCTTTTGCATAATTCATAAAACATAAGTATACATGCTTTTGCATTTGTATTTCTCTTTCTGATATCATTATGAGCATAAATATAGAATTCCTTGTTTCAATATCTTTAACGAACCTGCACTGTTCTTGTCCTATTTCTGGTCTAATTCTTCTGTCCGTTATATTCATCGAGATTCGAATGATAAATTTTGTTACATAAATCATTAGGCTATCATGGCGAATGGAAATACATTGTTATTCTAAAATACAAATTATATTGTGTAATACGCATTATTCATGAGAATGGTATGTATAGTGTTGAAAATTGTAACCTGAGCAGTGGAACAAAATAATATTCAAAATTTAATAGCTTTTAGAGAAATGTGTGCCAAAGATAAGTGTACGGACACTTGTAGAGATCTGAAGCAACTGGATAATTCTCCTATTTGTAAAATTCCCAAGAATAATAACTTCTTACTGCCTGTTGATTATTACATTAGATATGATTTCCAGGTGTGTAACTTAAGGCCAATGTTTTGAAGTTGATTCCAAACTTGAAAGAAACAAGAAAATGTCAAACTGATTTTAAATAAGAACACAGACTATCACAGACTATGGTTTTCAGAATTCGAAAATGCCGAATCATATAAAAGGCGAAATATAAAGACGAAAATAATCAATAAACTCCAACGTGAAACCGAACAAAATAACAGAGTTGACTGACCTGATCAACGTTTGTGTGAAGAGGATGACAGAAAACTTTATAAGATACGTAAAATCTACAGGAATAACAAAGCATCTTGGGAAATCAGATGGGAAAGACAGGTATCGAAGCTGAAAAGAGATGCATGCCTATTAAAAGAAAAGTCGAACAAGAACAAAGTACAAAGCAGACTGTGGGGAAAATACAACATCAAACATCGTAGTTAATGAAACAAACTAAAGAAAATTGTTAAAACAAAACAAAAAAAAAATGAAAAATACAAAGGAAAGATTATATAATACAAGCAAAAATGTATGATCTAAAATAAAGAAATTGCTAAAATACATATCACCACTTGTGGTTGCAAAAATTAATAATACTAAATTCTCGCGTATTACAACATGCAGGGATTCTGAGTATCATTTTATTTTCGTAATGAAATGTAATATTTCATTCATAAACCCATTTTGGTTGAATAAAAGTCATATTATTATATAAATTAGCAATGATTTCATCACAATTTATCCAACCATGTGAATCTGACATAAAATATTTGTAATTACTTTACATTTATTTCAAACATACGAGTGTATCACTCAGGAAGACCAGGGCGTAAAAGGCCCATATAAAATAATTTAAATATAAAATAAACAGCAGACCCAATTGAGAATTATATTTCAAGTTCTTCTACTATTGGAAGTTGTCAATTCGTCAGAGAGTGTAAGAAAGACACAATCAGATAAAGAAAAAGAAGGGATTCTCTTGAAACAAACAAATTTTGAGACGAGTATGTGAAAAGAAGCAGCAAAGTAGTTGATGAATATTGATGATTGATGAATGAATGAGTAGAGACCATGAACGAAAAGTGAAAATAAAAGCATCTACTCCAAAAACGGATATTTGAAACTGGGCAAGTGAAAAACACCAAAACCAAATGGAATCTACAGATTTTAATTCAAGAAATTTACAATACGACACATAGACATCCGCAACAACTTCCAAACTGCTTGAAGGAGAAAAAAAACAAACAAATGACGTGTGATGAAACAGTCCTCATCCAAAACAGCCCTCATCCGAGAACATTTGGCAAATAAATAGACCAATAACTTGCCTACGTATTAAATATCCCTACTTGAAAATTGCAGGAGAAATCTACAACTGAATAGAAAGCAAAAAATAGAAGAAGAGAAAGTTTGGTGAAATGGAATCAAAGAATTTTGCAATACTTGAACACGACTCTTTAAAGAAAGTGATAAACAATAAATAAATATCTCAGGTGAATAGAAAATTTATTAGAAACAAATATAAATAGTAGAAATTTGTTAAACGGAATGAAGGTATAGTTATGTACACTGCACCGTTTTTAGGCTTTACACGAGAGGTACTTATACTGATAAGAACAGAAAGTTGATGAAAATATAGAACAGGGATCCTAAACACGCAGTCCGCGGGGGGGGGGGTCATTTATGGGCCAATATTTTCCTCAAATTTAAATAAATTTGTCCTTCAACCCTTCATTCTTTTACATTACCAGTATTGAGCTTCATCTACCCACAAAATGCAAATAGACAATCAATAAATTTTAAGGTTAGTAGGTTTGTTCTAGTTCTTTTCTTTTGAAATCGAATCTGATCATTCAAATTAAATGAGCGGCCCTGGTAGCAGCAAACAAGTAAATTAAAATCTGAGTGGACGAAAGGAGACAAATTGGGAAATTGCCAGGACTTTAGTACAGAACTAAGGAAGCTGTGAAACATCAACTTTAGAGTTGCGTCTATAATAACTGGAGCACTAGAATCAAAATTGGATGATTTAAAGATTTGATAAATGAATAAGATTTTCCAGGACACAATTTTGCAACGATCGATGAGTATATCGAGAAAAGAACTGGAGAGTTGACGAGATTTGCTGTCATTCAATCCTCAACAATAATCACAAATGAATATGCAAATGAATGAAATAATAATAATAAATATTTAAAAAGCACAACGTTGGGTGCTACAGCAATCCTGGCTCTCATGGATTCTCATCTTAAATGACTTAAGACGTTAATTTGTACATGTTTTATCTTGGTGAATTAAGATTTAGGTGGGCGTGTTTCTAGGGGTTAATGCACTGTACAGGTCTGTTAAAAACGAGTAAGTGAGCATCATGGCCATGTGTCGTGGGGATCATTTTAAGTTTGAACAATAAGGTAACCACGGCAACTTGGGCGTGACTTCTAGATACTTGGGAATACCTTCAATCGGAGACTGATTGAGAAGACTGTCACCTGCTCTGGAAATATTTCTAACTGGGCGCCACCTGCAATATTATGTGCTGCTTTTATAAAATTATGTCACGAAATCGCGCACATTTGGCTGTGGTACATGTGCCTGGTATACGCTTCTTAGACTGGGTATCATGACAGGTATTGTGGGCTTCGTACATTTGTACCTCAGAATCATTTTTTCTGGCGAGCTGCTCTCTCTCCTTCTCTCTCTCTCTCATTATTAATAATAATAATAATCTGCAAACACATTCACTAGCTTCAGTGCTTTATTTATGTTTATATTGTCAGTAGTCTAAAAGTTCAGGTTTCAAATCTATAATTAATTATTATCCTGTTATATTTGTTTCCTTAAGTGGTTTTTATTTTCTTTGAAAAGTTTATTTAGTGTTTTTGATTACCAGTTCTCTTTTTTAAAAGTTTGTTCAAATCATTTAATCCATCTTTTGTTTATGATTCCGAACATTTTTCTATTAGAAAAGGCGGTAATTCTTTCATCATTTTCAAATTGACTGAATATGCTTGTTATAAAAATATAAAGATTTGAAGAATAGAATAGGCAATTATCTGTATTTACTTATTTATTCATTTATTCTATTATCTACTAATCTTTTCTAAATCTAATTGAATTTACAGAATAATTTCCTTTCATATAGAAATACAACGCCTTTATAGTTGTGGATATATTTTTATTTCTTCATTTACTGTTCTGCATTTTCAAAATCAGATAGAACAAAGTGAAAAGATCTTTTCATAAATTTGTTTTGGTACTTTCATATATTTAAATTGTAACTGGTTTGAATTACATATCAATCTATATAGCTAGCTAGTTTGCTTACGGCCATATCTCGATGAAACATCGGTTCCCGTACGATCACCGAAGTTAAGCAACGTCGTGCCTGATAATACCTAAATGGATGATCGCTTGGGAATACGAGGTGCTGTAAGCTTGGATGTGTGCGTAGTGTAATGTATAATGGCTCGAAATTGTACTCGGAGAGCCAAGTTCCAATTTAGTTGGGTTTGTTATATTCACTTATGTGGAAATACCCTTGGGAAAGGCATGAATCCACTTCTTCTCCCACCACCAATTTCTTAATTAGTAAGTCTTCTATCACTAAATCATCCCTAAAATCTTAGAATCTAAAAATATTTCCTGGCTTTAAATAACCTGCAATGGATTAATAAGCCGTACAAAAAGAATGAATCGATCAAATGTCGATCGATCTGTATTTGTGTGGTTGCATGTGTGGATAATGTCACTATTTTTGTCATGATAATTTTAATTTGTCAACAGATCAATTATTTCACAATATTAAAGTGATAAAGACATCGGCAAGATCAGTTCAATAATCTCATATTAGTTTATTAATAAGGGAAACAGAATAACAGTTTGTTATAAGGGAAACAGAATCCAATTTTTTTCTTTCACGTGTTAGTGCGTAGTCCTTATTACTGTATATGTTATAGACATAAGTACATCAATAAGTCTGTAGAGGAATGAAAAAATATTTTACACAACAAATAATTACTTTTTAACATAATCTTCTTTCTTGTCAATGCACTTAGCGCAACATTTCTCGATATATAATAATATTCCCTTATAACGAATATAAAGTAAAAACTTCAGAACAATATTTAAGCGTGCGAGGCTAAAGACTCACTCTCATATAATAAAAAAACAGTTTCTTGCTTCTGAAACATTTACAGGAAATTATGTCTATATTGTCGTCTAATTTCTTTTTAGTTGTAATAGACGAGCATAGACGAATATTACAAACATATAGCAGCACTTCGCCACATTTCCTCAGGATTGTGAGGCGATCATGGCTCTCCATAGATTCCTTTTCTTTGCTTTCTGAGAATTAACCCGTATTCTCAGGAAAAATAGTGGAGTAGTTTCCCGTTGCCTTCTCCACGGTTTGAGATTCAGATTGATTGCCATGCAAGGCTAGAGATCTCAGGCTGCTCTACTATTTAGCTCATAAATGGAGGAAACAGTCATGTCTTTCCCAAGAACATTAGTGCGAAAGTGAACGCAATATTCGAGTCCAAAATTTTATCTCGACACGCCGATTCCACTTTGGATCCGTTACACTACTCGATTGTACCATATTGTAAATAAACATTGGGGTTAATTTTTAGAATTATTGTTATATTCCCCCCCCCCTCATAGACATTGTATTGTATATATGGGGTTTAGTTAGTTTTTTCATAGAGACGACAAGGTATTATGGTGTTTGTAGTTTGAAAGGTACGTATAAATGCGTTGTTTTGGTGTAAGGAATATTATTCGTACGATTGGGTCAGTGTCTGCGGCTAGCTAAGTTAAAACTAAGACAGAAGAAGACCGTCCACTCCCCATTCCCCTATTTCGGCCTTGTGCCACATTTCTGTTATAAATTGCAGAATAAATATTGTTACACTACTCGCCAAAATTTTATATTAGCACAATTATAGCGTTAAAATACACACGCATGCACGACACAAATACATTTTGTCACTGAAGACGTACGCGTGTGTCTGTGTGCATGTCTGTGACCGTGTCTCTGTGTGTCCATGTCTCTGTGATGCAAAACACTGATACACTTACTTTTGAAAAATTCATTAAAATCTTAGTAAAATCTTAAGAGAAAGAGAGAGAGAGAGAGAGAGAGATTATAAAAATTTTAGAAGTTGCATAATCTCTTTCTCTCTCTCTTTCTTTCTTTCTTTTCCTTTCTCGCCGGTCCTGGTTAACACAAATACCAAGCTACGGATAGTAACAAAGTTATATGTATTTCAACCAGTTTCTTAATACTCTTTTGAAGAAACAGTAAACGTCTGTTGTCAACTCCGACATCTGCTTAGGATAAGAAAACTTCAAACTTCGAAACCTTACTAACAGTCGTCCCAGTGAAGCCATGGCATGAAAACCCTTGGTTTAAAAGTAGGCTTGTTAATATGCACGCTTCACTTGAAATGATAAAAAAGCAACTATCGCAGGCCCGAACACTATTCAATGTATTTCCTTCAGCTGAAGGTTGCGGGGTAGGTGTCATAGTCGTGGAACATTCTCTGACATCTTCGTTCGCAAAGCCATGATTATTATGATGATCCTATAATGCGAAGATTTCGTCTTAATTTTAATCTAGTTTTCTTTCCTTTACTTCTCTTTTACACTTCTCGTTATAAATTTGAATTATTTCTCATCTAATTCTGAGCAAAGCTAACAATAGGCTGAAGCGAGATTGAAAATTTAGGTTTCATTTCATATTACTTATTAAATATTTTTCTAATCAGTGCTACATCCATATTATTAATGTATCGGTATATACATGTATAGGTATATACATGTATAGGTATATACAAATGTAATGCAAAAGGTTTTAGGACATTTTATATTATCTTACATTTCTAATAAACACCATCTTATAAGCTAATGTCTACAAATGAAACTTTCGCCACGTTGGTGTCATTTTCATGTCTAATTATCAGATTCTTAGCAAGGGTTCTGAAGTAACGTGGAACATGCATGACGTCTCTCAAAAATAGCTATGCAAAATGTTTTCGCTACCTCACATAAACAGATGTAGTGTTTTAAAACAGAAAAATATCTATAATGAAAATTTATATTTTTTATGTTGGTTTCAAGAAGTTAATGCACTTTTTTAATAATTTGTTTGGATTCCTATAACTTAAATAATTGTTTCAATGCGCTTGAAATGGGATGCTTCACCATCTTTACAGGTACTAGATACTAGATTTCTTTGTGATTAGGCTCCCACAACTCAAGATCCTGTTGATTCTTCTCATGTATTCTACTCATTACTCCTGTCAACATTTGATTCATAAATTAAGTCAGGGCTCTAAGTTGGCGAAACTTTCAATACAGTAACGCATTCATCAATTGTCTCTGTTGTGTTTAAACTAACCTAAGACTTTTGCACGGTACTGTATTTAGGGTGGATTTACAACTAACACAAAAGGACAAAACAGCTTTGCAATATCAATATCCTTTTCAAAAAGTTCCATTTTGCTTCTATCATGGATTTATGCAACTCAAAACCGTAAGCCCATGTCAACTGTCCATGTTCTGGTTTGTTTCGGACCCTGAGGCAGTGGAATATAACAATAAATTCGTTCTTGAGCATCGAGGATTTTTATGACCTGTTGCCGGGTGAGAAGAGAATGTTTTTCTCTAAAAAGCAAATATTGAATCTCGTTAAAGTAATTTTTGACTACCAGTCCACGACTCTGCTCTTTATCTCTTAGAAGTTGGTTGAAATTTCCAATTACTCAAAATGACTTATTTATTTTATACGGGCAAATATAATATACGAAGCCTAAAATAAATATTTTGTTTTGTCTCAATTGGTTGGATTTCAATTTAAAATTATTGAGTGATTTGCGAAAATAGAAATCAAATCAAAGGCAAAAAAGGCGAGCAAGTGAAGGATAGTAAAGTGTATAAAAAAGAAAAAAGAAGCGTCTGCTGCTATATGGATCCGTCTTTAATATTGGACATTGATGTTGATGCGCTGCTGCTGTTTCTTCGTTTCGAAAGACAGAGAAATACGACAAACTATCGATTGCGAATTCACTTTTCACTTCCTTTTCTTTACGCTGAGTTCAAGTGAAAATAATCGAATTGGTCACTCGTGTTACAAAATCATTTTATGTTTACAGTGACTGATCGATAGGTCTTCGGTTTTTAGTTGTGCGGCATCTGCAGCATAGAAAATATTAATGGGAAATGCGTTCGACTGCTGCTGACTCCCAGCAGACGAAACAATTTTTCTATATATTGCGCGCGAATATGATTGACTTGTATTCAAAGAAAATGAACAGAAAACGACTTAGTTCCTGAATACGTATATATATATATATATATATATATATATATATATATATATATATATATATATATGTGTGTGTGTATATATGTGTGTGTGTGTGTCTGTGTGTGTGTGTGTGTGTGTGTGTTGATATAACTTTAAATGTGTTTTCCTTTGTTGAAAGAAACTGAAATTTGCTTAAAGTCCTTACTGTCAGAATTAATCTGTTTATATCGTTTCTGTCAATAACTAGACTGCTAACTCTCGATTTGCTAACGGCAAGATGATAAAATTTCAAATCTAAATTGTTTGTGCATTTAAAATACTATATTTATTAGAAACTATATTCAGTTTAAATACAGGAGTCATAAAAATGAATTAAAAGAGCCGCACATTTCCCTTATACTCTTTTCTGTTATCCACACTTTGTTGCCAGACAGAAAGTCAAAATATCTCTCGAGACATAGATATCCATTTCAGTTTCATTCACATTGCGTGTTTATGTACGTTTGCGTATCTGTATGCTTAGTTAAATTCAATGGTTTACTTTAAAAATATTCTATAAAATTAAAAAAAGTATATTTAAAAATACTTCTATTTATTACCGAGTTATTTCCGAAAAGTTCCATAAAATGTTATAATTATTTTTGTTTTTTGTTTGTTTTAGAAATAATTTTTGACCCCAGCTTCATGATTGTATTACTCAGCCCGAAGTAGGGGTCCGTCTGAACTGTGTGGGAAGGAAATGTATAATGCCAATATCTTATTTCAACATTAGTCAAAATGTATGTGCGTGTGTGTACATTAAATTGCACAAATATATATAAGTCACTCACTACCAACATGCACACACATACATTACATGCGCAGATACAAAGTCACACGCACATATTATGTTGTAGATACAGATAAATTACATTATTTTCGCAGTTTATCGAAATGGTGGTATTTTAACCACCAAAAATAATATAAAACAGATTCCTTGAAAAATAGCTACTTTAATCATTGTTTAACAGCTAACCGAACTGGGGAAAAGACCCCCCCCAACTTTTTTTTTTTTTTGTTAATTTGATGAACAGATTCCAAAAATCAAAATAGTTAGAGGGCCTTATCTCATTAACGAGAATTAAA